ATCCCTTATTCGAATGCAGGAGCCGATTTGCATGGTGTGCTATAGAGCTCTGAGCTCCATGGGCCACTCTGGTCCTGGGAAACCACCTGGAGCACTTGTTGGAGAAGTCCTTTGGTGTCTTCCTGGGGGAAGCCTAGAGCCAAGGGAGGAAAACAACATAGGCAAAAGGATGCCCCTGCCCCCAGTTGCAGGTTATTGAACCTGTCCCTTCCTTCCCATGTCCTAAACCAGCTTCACATGAGGAACTGGTTATCGTACTGTCTTCCCAACACCCCAGCCTGGAGTTCCTCCAGCCTTTCTTTGTAGACCTATTCAGCTGTACCAGCTCTTCAGTGAGCCTGCACGACTGCAGCTTGTGCATAAGGTAGACTGAGACACACCACACTCTCTACTCCAAAGGCATGCTAGGCTGGCCCTGAACAGCTGTCCTGACAGCTGGTACCTTGTTGTGTGAGAGAAACACCCCAGAAAGTGTATTTTTGTGATTCTAACAAACAGCTTTGCTTTGAAAGGAACCCTGAAACATCTGGCCTGGTAGGGAGGAGGTGTGAGTGGTGGCAGGACCATGTGAGTGCCTCGGTGTCGGTGCCTGCCAAGTACAACATTCCTTCGGAAGTGCGTGTGCAGTGTCCCTTCCTGTGATCCGCTGTTGGAGACTAATCCTGTGACATTGTTTTCCATGAGGAAACTGCATTCAGCTCCTGCTGGTTTGCAGAGCAACACAGCAGTGACTCAGACAACATGTACTTGCCCGCTGCTGGCATGGGGCAGGGGAAGCGAGATGATTTCTGGAAGATTTTACCCCTGTGTGGATCATCTTCTGATCTGTAAGAAGCCACTCTCTGTGCAAGGCAAACTGCATCCTCAAAGGTCAGCCCGGGCTGCTGACAGAGGTCTTTTCTTGATTTATCAGTCCCTGTGTAATTTCTGGACTTGGCAGCTAGAATAAGGTTGGAAACAGTCCAAACCAGGGCTGCAGCGCAACCTTTTGTATCTCTGACTGAGGGGGAGCCTTTAAATAAAAAGATGAGAATGGGGCTCTCCACCTCTGACTGTCTCATCTGGTGGAGAAGGGGGAGGGGAGAGATGAAATTAGTTATCAAAGTACCAATCATTAAACTAAATTCATGATCACAGTCCCCCCAGATCTCTTGGCATACCTATCAAATAGATGGGTATGATCCACACACTGGGAAGCTGATAGCTGTAACATTTCAATATTTAAACATTAGGTGACATTGTTTGCTAGCTTTACTTAAGCAGCATAAACCACTTCTGCAACTACGCTACTTCCAGGAGGTTCCTTCCAAGTGGCAAATCCACACATGCAAACATTGACTTGGGCCTCAGCCTCAAGATAAAAGTTTTCTGTGCTTAAAATATTTCTTACCAAAATCACATGGGCTGCTCAATCTCAGTAAGCACAGCTTTGTAGCATGGCTTACATGCTGAACTGAAGATAGGGTAAGTGGGCATGCGTATACAGAGAATGAGGACCACCGGGGTAGATTTAGAAGCCTGAAGCATGCCAAAGAAGTCAGATCTTGTGCAGTTTACAGTTTTACCCACGTGTAGAGACAGGTCCCAGCTGACCACATCTCTGTACTGTCAGAGTTCAATACTCTCCGACCAGGTTCTTTTAGATATTACGCATGAGGAGAGTTTAATGTTTAATATCAAATATCCTTGTTGAGCATATTTGGCATTACATGGGATTTTGATTTAGCGAAGTGAGAAATCGCATCACAAGCATAATATAGCATTTGCAATATACAGCTGAATCACAGCGCAAACACGATTCTCTTTACTGGTTTCTGTATGCTTATCGTCACAATGCTGGGCCTCCCCAGTCACTGGGAAGGAATATGCTGGTTGAAACTATCTCAAGCCCATTGCTCTTTTCAAACTTTGATTTGTTGTCCAGTTTTTATATTTTGTGTTGGGCTGAGCCACATATACACTGCTCCCCTGTCACGCTGGTCTGGCTTGCTCAGGAGGACGTTATTCTTTGTTAGTTGTCTGAGGGAACCCGATGATTCACTGGTGCAGCTGTCTTACCTAAAACCATGGTAACCCTCCAGTGTCCCTGGTGTTGAGATAAGTGCAGTTTTCTTTACTGTACATTATTCCCCAAGCTCATTGCTTTTTGCCCTTCTCTTCTGAGCTCTCCTCCACTGTGGGGATGTGCTGGTCTGTCAAAACTGCCCAGGTTTTCAGTACAAGGGAACAGTTTGTTTCTTTCCCCCAGATAGTCCAGATGAGATCTACGATGTTTTCAGCATGGCAGATCACAGGAGCATGATAATAGCGCAAAGAAGGGGTCTGTGCAATGTGTCTCATTCACAAAGGACAGATTGCAATTCCATTTTTCCTTTGAAAGTGGCAGAGAATATTTTGAGTAGGGAAAGAAGCACCAGCTGCCAATGAGTGGAAAGCACAAGGAATATGAAAACCTGTCCAATACTCATACAAAATTCAAAACTACTAATTTGAAAAATATTAATACCTTTCCAGAAGTTTATTCACATATATTCTTACAATATAGTGTCTGACAGTAATTTTTTGCCCAATATTGATCTAAAACTTGAAGCCTGAAGTTCTATGAGCATTTAATGAGTTATGTTTTTTAAGTCAGTACTAAATTAATTTAAATTAATAATTTAATAATTTAATAACCCTGAGGTTATCAGTACAGGCACAATACCCTACAGGACCCCTATCTTATTGTGCTAGACTTTAAACACATATGAAAAACTATCAAATTAATTACCTAGAGGATGCAAAACCAGAATATAAGCAAGGTAGCTGAAAACTTACAAATGGAAACCAAAAGCTGAGTGTAAAAATCATGAGTATAGACAGCATGTATTCTCAGTACACTAGAGGCTTAGCCATTTGCCTCTATCTCGCAGAATTAAATCTGGCTTGATTCCATCTTGTTGTGAATTTGTGTTTAATCTACACATGTGCTAAAAGAACAACATTTTAAGTGGTCTTGCTTGAGCACTGTCACTAGTAAGTATGGGCAGGGGTTGGGGAGCAGAAAGGGAGGGGTATTGAAATCTGGTGTTCTGCCGCTAGTGAGGCACTAGTAAGTGAAGAAAAGAAAGTAATAATTAAAAAAAAAACCCAAAACTATTCTGGAATCCTTCTTTAGGCTAGTTACAGCAGAAAAGGCTTGAGTTTGTTTACTGTTTTGTGACCTGTTAGTTCTGTATAAACAAGAACTGTAGCAAGCATGATACATTTTTTAAGCGCCAGTATCATACTCGGCTCACTTGTTCACTCCTCACAGGAAGAGAAAGGAGTTATGCTTAGGACTAGAAAAAATCTAAGGAGACTCCCCATTACACCTATGCATTCCTCTGCACCTCTGCAGCAGGAAGCACAGTTGCTACAGCCGAGGTAAAAGCTGTGAATGCCTCTGCCAGGGGAACAATAGTAACTGATTAGAAGAGTTCAGTGATGGTTACTTCATATTAGAAGAAGGGAAAAGCGAAGGTCATTCCCATGTTTCTTAATATACTCCTTTTCTGAAGTGATGCAGACTACTTAGGGAGAAGAAAATTTTCATCTAAATCGTATTTGTCATCACCTTCTGAAAAAAAAAAAACTCCCCCTCTCCCCCCAAACACTGACACTGAAAAAGACATAGATTTGATATTGACCATGAAAACATCTAGGGACAGTATTAGAAACAATAGTCGAGATGAGAGGATAACGAGCTCCTCTTTTAAGCTTTTAATATGACCGTAGAGAGCAAAACAGTCCTTTGGTTTTATGATGGAATGGAATTCCATCATTATTAAATAGACTGAGGGAAGATACTCCTTCCCAGTTTAGTACCACAATAGAGAAAAACTACTTAGCATATGTTCTAACATGGCACAGTTTAAAAGAGTATGTAGAAATTATGTTTCCATTTCCTACATAAAAGGACAGAAGAAAATAAAATTATAACACCCCCACCTTTTTTTTCCCCAGAAAAAAAAAAGAAACCAATCTTTATGTGTTAGTCCAGTAGTTATTCCAGCTCAGGATGTTCTTATAAGGTGACATTTGTAACATCCTTAGACAAGGATTGCTCCTTACTTTCATAAATACCAGTTCAGAATCTTGTCTGTATCCACTAGAGATTTGGACCCATAAAACAACAGATAAAGATTGAAAAGCTTGATCTGCAGGACAAAAGAAAGGTGATTTTCTTGCTAAATAATGTAGCAGAAATTTAAATCTACAGTTATACTAAAGCATATTTTGTAAAAAATAAGGAAAAATCCCCACAGCAGTAACTCCAATGGAGCAAAATTAAGAAAAGTCACAATCTAATATAAAGGTAATAATATAAAAGAGATTCTATTCCACCTACTGGTTAATATGTGCTTACATCAAAAATTGGTTATGTAATTATGGGAAGAGAGAATCAATCTTCCCATTTCTTAAATGGGACATGGAAAGCAAAATACAAACCAAATATATTAGAAAGCCTGACAGCACAGATATTGTGGAAAATTCCCTAAAGCCAGTAAGAGATTTCAAAATATTAACAATCCTGAAAGTTTATAGAACTTTGAATACAAATAGAGCAAAGCAGTTAGTGAAAACTAGCATGAAAATAATGAGAATTTACAGTAATTCAAAGACACCTCGGTCATTTCAAGAAAATGCAATACAGACACATATGCACAGCAAATGGGTTTATACAAATCCAAGGAGGAGGAAAAAACCTTTCCAGTTGTTACGAACATGTACGACGTTGGGATTTATTTTTTGGGGGGGGGGGGGGAGGTTAATGTTTTGTTTACTTCGCAGACCCTACAGCACTGTTTAGCAGGTAACGGCAGGCGATGCTCCATCCCGCTGTGACGGAGGCAGAAAGAACTGGCGGGAACCCCGCCCTCGTCGCTGCAGTCCCCAACCAGGTCGGCTCCCACCGCATAAAAGCCGCCGCACCGCCCCGCTCCGGTCATACTCCTTCTTCGGGGCTGAGTGACGGCAGCATGTCCGGCAGAGGCAAGGGCGGGAAGGGGCTCGGCAAGGGGGGCGCCAAGCGCCACCGCAAGGTGCTGCGCGACAACATCCAGGGCATCACCAAGCCGGCCATCCGGCGCCTGGCTCGGCGCGGCGGCGTGAAGCGCATCTCGGGGCTCATCTACGAGGAGACGCGCGGCGTGCTGAAGGTCTTCCTGGAGAACGTGATCCGCGACGCCGTCACCTACACCGAGCACGCCAAGAGGAAGACGGTCACGGCCATGGACGTAGTCTACGCCCTCAAGCGCCAGGGACGCACCCTCTACGGCTTCGGCGGCTGAACGCCTCTTCGCTCCCCGACCGATCACCTCGAGAACCCAAAGGCTCTTTTCAGAGCCACCCACTTAATCTGGAAAAGAGTTGTATTGCTTCAAAGCTGGTAAACGGAAAATGAATTTCTATAAGCTTTGTTCTTAGTAATTCATTAGTTTTTTTTGTTAATTACTATATAGGTAGTTCTTAAAATTAAGCTCCCGATAATTAATTGTATAATGTTAATAGGTTAAGTAGATATTGAGTTGGTAAAACTCAAAGCTATTGATTTCAATATCAGTGCAATTAGAATTAAATGATTTCTTTTGTTTATTCCCTGAAGAAATGAGCTGAACAGAAGAACACTATAAACTTATTCTGTTTTGAGCTGGTGATCTGGCCGGGCTGGGAGACAGGTACACATTGCCCTGTGGGCATCTCTCCTGGTCTCTGTTTTTCCACTGATGGAGTAAACAGCAGTAGATATGTATTTAAGTTATGTTATCCCTGTAATGATGCTCTTGGCACATGAAAATGTGTGGGAGCAGGGTGGGAGGTGTCCCAGCTGGTCACCCCCTGAGCCCCTTCTCATAAAAATTAAATACCGGAATGATCCCAAGTCTGTCACCTGACTGCTTTTTAGGGACCTGTTTGTTATTCTTTGTGCATCCAGTAAGTTGAAGCTTAGGAAGCTTTTTTCTTTTAATGGCTGCTGAAACCACAGCAGTTCTCTGTATCCAGGGTCAGCAGCAGTTTTCCCTTCACCTGACAACTCTTCTCTGCTCAGGCTCTGAGGAGAGCTCTCCTGGCTAGCAAAGCAGCAGGAACACACAGTGGGGAAAAATGGAAACGGACTAGAAGTTTGTATTGCAGCAAGCAACAGCCTAGGAATACTACTTGGGCTGAAATAAATTTAATCTTGTTGAAAACATTATCCCTTGAACTATTGCATTTTCATGTGAATTCACCTCAATCCAAAAGCATTTATTGTACTAGCTATGGTATTAATTTCTACTATTTCCAGATTAAAAGTTACCGTAGGTAAAAAAAAAAACAGAAAACCAAAAGCAGCAAACAACTCCCTGCCCCTGCCAAAAAAAAGCCCCCCCCAACCCAACAAAAAACAACCTCCCAAAAACAAACCCCAAGCCCCAAAAATGCCTTTATAAGGAATCCTATTGATGAAACCCTGTACAACCCTGTACCTTATTTTTCAAAGCTCAAGCCTCAGTGAATTAGAACAAAATGAACATGAACCTTCTACGCGTTCAGGACAGCAAAATTTACAACTAAGCATTTCCTTTTTCAAGTTTTTATTACAGGTTTTCATTTTCGAGATACACTATAAAAAATTGCTACAAGAAATATATAAACCCGAAAACAAGAGCGGCGAGTGCAAGGCGGAGGGAGGGTGAGGGCGGATGGCGAAAAGGCGCCCTTCCGAGGCGCGCTTTTCGAATTCGAAGGTATCCAATCATAACGACGTGTTGCTGCCAGCCAATCAGAGGGGCGAGCATGCTATAAAAGCCGCCCCGGCAAGCGAGCGGCGTCATTCCACGGCGGCGGTTTCAAGAAGCGTTTCGGGTCTCTCGGAGCGATGGCGCGCACGAAGCAGACGGCGCGTAAGTCGACGGGCGGGAAGGCGCCCCGCAAGCAGCTGGCCACCAAGGCGGCCCGCAAGAGCGCGCCGGCCACGGGCGGCGGGAAGAAAGCGGCCCGCT